ATCATACTGCAAAAGTAACCATAGATAATGTTTTTTTAAGGGTAATGGCTTTGTTCTGATAAAATTTTATTTACAAAAACAAATGGCAGGCTGTACTTGGCCCATGGCAAGTGTTTGCCATAGTTTGGTCTAAAGCGTGTCTAATTGGATTAAGTTAGGTGTTCTGTTCCATCTCTGAGAGAAGGGTCATATTAGCTGTATGGTGCCCCTTTTAAAGGCATTTAATAAATCCTGTATCTGTTTTGTGTATCTAAGCCCTTGGCCTTCAAAATTTATTGAGCAGCACACCATATAATTTATTTAACTCTATAGTATATTAGACATGAAAATAAGGAGAATGGAGTTAATAAACCATAAGATTTTCTTGAATGTGTTAAACCTACTCATTGTACCATTTTTTTAGCAGCCTCTAGTGAAATCCTAATTTTATGGGATCTTATTTTTTCCTTTTTTTTAATCTCTGAGCTTTCTAACTTTCAAGGTTTTTTTTCTTAATTGTGCCAAAATATACATAAGAAAATTAGCCATTTTAGCTATTTTTAAGTACACAGGTCAGTGGCATTAAGTACATTCATACTGTTGGGTAACCATCACCATCGTCCATCTCCAGAACTCTCTCATCATCCCTATCTGAAATTCCCTAAACAGCAAAGCTCCATTTTCCCCTGCCCCATCTCCCGGCAACCATGATTCTACTTTCTATCTCTGTGAATTTGCCTGTTCTAGGTACTTCATGTGATTGTAATCATACAATATTTGTCCTTTTGTATCTGGGTTCTTTTACCTCACCTAATGCCTTCACGGTGCATCCAAGTTGTAACATGTATTATAGTTTCCTTCCTTTTAAGGCCAAATAACATTCCACTCAGTATACATACCACATTTTGTTTGTCCTTTTATGCATCAATGGACATTTGAGTTGTTTTCCACCTTTTGGCTGCTGTGAATAATACTGTTTTAATCACTGGTGTACAAATTTCTGCTTGAGTCCTTGTTTTCAGGTTTTTTTGAGTATATAACCAGTAGTAGAATTGGTAGATCATATGATAATTCTGTGTTTCAGCTTCGGAGGTAGCACCATGCTGTTTCCACAGTAGCTGCACCATTTTACATTCCTACTAGCAATGCTAAAGCGTTCCAGTTTCTTCACATTCTTGCTAATGCTTATTTTGTGTTTTTAGTTTTTATTATAGCCGTGCTGGTAAACAAGTAGTATCTCACTGTGATTCTCATTTGTTTTTATGTCAATGTTTGTAGTTAATGTAAAAGACAGTAAATTTATTAGCTACTACATTAATCAATATCTGGTACAGATTAGATGTGTGTGTGCCTCTGTGTGTGTGTGTGTGTGTGTGTGTGTGTGCGCACGTGTGCGTGTGTGTAGATGCATATATTCCTCTCCTAAATCCAAAATTATGTGAGGTGGCTTCCAGGAACATGTAAACAAGAAGATGAATAACATAAATAGCTAAATTCATGACGTTGAGAATATAGAAGACTAAAAAAGAAAATGAAACTATAGCCAGAATTAGATCAACTTGAGACTGTGTTGTAAAATCTTAGACAGTTACTAAACGTGAAGTGACTTAATCCTGAACTTCCTAGTGACCAAAAGAAGAAGGGAAAGAGGGCCAGTAACATGATTCAATTACTCCAGATGATCAAAGCTTACAAAAAAGGCTTTTCTTGGCTCGTAGATGTAAGAAATAAGCTATAACTATTTTAAAAGAGGTGATTTTTATAAAAAGAAGCATTTATATTACTGACACCAGCAGATTTCAGACAAAAAGCAAACAAAAATTTTGGTAAAATTGATGGAGTTGCAACTGGAAATGACTCACATAGCCTGACCATTACCAGACTTTTGTTGGTGTAAAATCATAATTTCAAAGTACAATCCGTACTCTTCCTTCACAGAGTACAAAAGTACAGACTTCTCTTGGTGTAAAATCATAATTTCAGAGTACGAAGTCAACTCTGCATATCTTAGCAGAGCAATGGGGTCTTTTCCTTTGGATTTTAGTTAGTACTTTATATAGTACACGTAAGATCTTGAATTGCCTCTTACATGTTATATATGTTCTGGGGGTTCCTTTTCAAGTCACAAACCATAAACACATGTCCATAAACACATGTATTTGTACAAATAGTTTTCTTAAGAATATATCCTTATCTTCCTTTTGGAAGGAAAGGAAGAGCTTCATGTTCAAATCTGATATTGAAACTTCTGTATCAGTGTGAAACTACAGGAATGAATTATCATTTTCAAATTTATTACAGAAAAAAGACTTCATGACAAGTGGATATGTTGTCAAACCAGTCTTAACCATTTTAAAGGGCAAAAGAAATAAAAAATAAGAATAGAAGCCATATGAAACAGATTTTTTTAAAGAGCTTCTGAGAAAGGCAAAATTACCCTAAAATTGAAAGAACTGGTCTGAAGTTTTACCCAGAAGTTTGGATTAAAGACAGCAATAACAATGGACATTTCTTGAATGTTTACAGTGTTCTAGGTACAATTCAAAGCACTTTGCTTATACTAACTCACTTCTTCCTCTAAACTTAGTAATAACCTCATTATTCCCATTTTATAAGAGAAACTGAGGCATGGAGCAGCTAAGCATACTTGCTCCAATTCATACAACTAGGAAGTGTTAGAGCTGGGATTTACACACAGTCACCCAGTCTGGCTCCACTGGCCACACATTTACCCACTACACTATACTGCCCCTTGAGTTTACAGCAAATGAACCGAGGAAGAATTGCTTTAGCTGGCCAGCATATAAACACCTCAGATTTCTATTGTGTCCCTATAATTTCTTTTGTTTTGTTTTGTTTTTCTTTAGAAGATCAAACGTACTTTAACTATTCTTGAAATTTCCCTTAATATTCTTGTATACAATTCCTATTGGTAAACTTCTTAAAATAATGCTCCGGATTCCAGTTGAATGATGAAACCTTATGCAACTATTAAAATTTGTGTTTTTGCAAAGAGTTTTAAATATGTGGAGGAGGGGCGCCTAGGTGGCTCAGTTGGTTAAGCGTCTGACTCTTGACTTCAGCTCAGGTCATGATCTAAGGGTTCATGAGTTCAAGCCCTGATTCAGGCTCTGCGCTGACAGCACCGAGCCTGCTTGGGATCCTCTCTCTCCCTCTCTCGGCCCCTCCCCTGCTCATGCTCGCGCACGCGCGCGCTCTCTCTCTCTCTCTCAAAATAAATAAACTAAAAATAAAAAAAAAAAGAATGTGGGAGGAATGCTTATAAAGCAAAGCGGCAGGATGTAAATTTGTTGGAAGCCAAGTTCCACCCCCCAAAATCCCCCCTCAAAATAAAACTATTTTTAAAAAGATGGGAAAGTTCATTTGTGGCTATCATTGGGTAGGAATAATAGGAATGATTTCTTGTCCTGCTTTTCTTAATTTTCCACAAAATTTACCAGAATACTTTTATAGCCGAAAAAAATGAAATAAACTTCATTTTTAAAAGGCCAAGCAGAGCCGTTCTTTACAAAAGTATAGTACAATGCTTGTGATGATAATCTTATTGTATCATTTAAAATCATCTCCACTGGGGCGCCTGGGTGGCTCAGTCGGTTGGGCGTCTGACTTCGGCTCAGGTCATGATCTCACGTTTCGTGGGTTCGAGCCCCACATCGGGCTCTGTGCTGACAGCTAGCTCAGAGCCTGGAGCCTGTTTCAGATTCTGTGTCTCCCTCTCTCTCTGACCCTCCCCCGCTCATGCTGTCTCTATCTCCCTCTCAAAAATCAATAAAACATTTAAATAAAGAAATAAATGAAATAAATAAATGAAACAAATAAATAAATAAAATAATCTCCACAGAGCCCTGTGCTGGATGGGTAAAGGTGGCATGGTTTAGATTTGCACTATCATATGTGGCTATTTAATTTTAAGTTAATTAAAATGAAATAAAATTTATAACTCAGTTCAACAGTGACACTCGCCCCATTTTAGGTGCCCAGTAGCCACAGTGGCTAGTGACAGCTTTTCCATCCTCACAGAAAGTTCTGTTGCCCAGCACTGCTTCTAAAGACAGAACATGGAATCTGGAACCAAGTGACTTGGCATCAAGTCCTTCTAGGAGTTGACACTTGCTGTGTGAAATGGGCAATTTACTCAACCTCTCTGAGTCTATTTCCCCCCAGACAAATTAGGAGTAATAATAATATCACTTTCCATGTAAGAAGTTTAGGAAGGCCAAATAATGTGCACCTGACAGTTCTCCAAAAACAGTAGTGTGGCTTACCAGGTAGTAGCTGCTTCACAGGCCACCCAGTTGGAATTTAATCCAGCTCTTTGCGGACTGATTCCAAATCCATTAATGGTTCCTACCAAGACTTTTGCTGAAATGACACCATAAAAGTCAGACTTACAGGCTCTTACCACAGTTCCTAGACCAAGTCCTTGGCAATGTGGATGTTCCATTTCTTTCTTGTAAAAGCCTTCAGGTACACAGCTCTGTACCTGTCTCTTGTAATAACATTTCCTCAAAGTTTTCCTTAACAATGTCAATACATTGCTCTACTTCCATTCCTAAATGGAAAAGACTGTCTTAAAAAAGAAACCAAAGAAAGAGGCTGTGTGTACCAAGTAAACAAATGAGTTAAAATGCTGTAACTAAAAGGAAATCAATCTGAGTCGATGGTGTAGGAATTGGGCAAACGATGTTGCCATCTGCTGCAAGATGAGGTTTTCACTAACAATTACAACAGGTTTCCCTGTGCTTCAGAGCTGTTGGGGTACTGGTTAAGCGGAAGTACTTGCTTGTTCTGATTTTTTTTTTCCCCCGAGTCACTTCTGGTTTTTCCTGCAAAACAACTTGACTAATTTAGCTTCTTAGAGCCGCTGTATTTATTCCTCATCTAACCACCTGCGAGTGAAGCGTGGGTCTCGTGTGCCTTACGATCATGAAATAGGCAAGTTTTGGCTCAGCGCGGTGCAGACTCCACGCTCACCCCTCCCCCCCTTCTGCCTCCCGCAGGTCCCTTCCGCCGTGGATGCCTTTGACATTATGACCGCAGAGGATTCCACCGCAGCCATGAGCAGCGACTCGGCCGCCGCGGCCTCGGCCAAGGTGCCGGAGGGCGTGGCCGGCGCGCCCAACGAGGCGGCGCTGCTGGCGCTGATGGAGCGCACGGGCTACAGCATGGTGCAGGAGAACGGGCAGCGCAAGTACGGCGGCCCGCCGCCCGGCTGGGAGGGCCCGCACCCGCAGCGCGGCTGCGAGGTCTTCGTGGGCAAGATCCCGCGAGACGTCTACGAGGACGAGCTGGTGCCCGTGTTCGAGACGGTGGGCCGCATCTACGAGCTGCGCCTCATGATGGACTTCGACGGCAAGAACCGCGGCTACGCTTTCGTCATGTACTGCCACAAGAACGAGGCCAAGCGCGCCGTGCGCGAGCTCAACAACTACGAGATCCGCCCCGGTCGCCTGCTCGGCGTGTGCTGCAGCGTGGACAACTGCCGCCTCTTCATCGGCGGCATCCCCAAGATGAAGAAGCGCGAGGAGATCCTGGAGGAGATCGCCAAGGTCACCGAGGGCGTGCTCGACGTGATCGTCTACGCCAGCGCGGCCGACAAGATGAAGAACCGCGGCTTCGCCTTCGTGGAGTACGAGAGCCACCGCGCGGCCGCCATGGCTCGCCGCAAGCTCATGCCCGGCCGCATCCAGCTGTGGGGCCACCAGATCGCCGTGGACTGGGCCGAGCCCGAGATCGACGTGGACGAGGACGTGATGGAGACCGTGAAGATCCTCTACGTGCGCAACCTCATGATCGAGACCACAGAGGACACCATCAAGAAGAGCTTCGGCCAGTTCAACCCGGGCTGCGTGGAGCGCGTCAAGAAGATCCGCGACTACGCCTTCGTGCACTTCGCCAGCCGCGAGGACGCCGTGCATGCCATGAACAACCTCAACGGCACCGAGCTGGAGGGCTCGTGCCTCGAGGTGACGCTGGCCAAGCCCGTGGACAAGGAGCAGTACTCCCGCTACCAGAAGGCAGCCAAGGGCGGCGGCGCGGCGGAGGCGGCGGTGCAACAGCCCAGCTACGTGTACTCTTGCGACCCCTACACGCTGGCCTACTACGGCTACCCTTACAACGCGCTCATCGGGCCCAACAGAGACTACTTTGTAAAAGGTTAGTGGGGGCTGTACTGCTGGGGAGGCCCCCCGACAGCCACGTGGCCCCAGGCAACGTCAGGGGTGTTGTGGCTCTAGTTTGCTGAGCTGGTAGACAGGCCCATCTCCCCCACTCACCCACCCTCCTTTGGGTGTCACTTCCGGGGGTCTGTGTTTTGCTGGCACTTAGGGCGTTCACTCCCACAGCATTTTAGGAAATGCAGGTCATACTTACGTGTGGGGAGAGCGGTGAAATCAAGGGGCATGCATGCAGGCGCTTCTTGCATTCTACCTTTCCAGGATCTCCTGGTTTGGGGCTGGTCCACCTGTCTCTAGGTTAAAAGCTCCTTGTGAAATTAAATCTCTAGGATGTTGGGGCACACGAAGGACAGACAATGTCGTGGTGGTGGTGGTGGTGGTGGTGCTGTTTAAATCATTGGCTAGCGTGTAATGAAACCAAGCATTGCACCGGGAAACCAGTGGCTAGGTTATGGGTCCTGCTGTCATGAGATCAGCTCGCTCTGTGACTTTCATCAGTCCCTTTCACCTCCCTAGGCCAGTTTTCTCACACTTAAAATGAGGAAGGTGAACCAGCAGATCCCTTTCCAGATCTAACTTCTTTACAGTCTGTGAATGTTTTTCTGTATTGAAGTTGCACTTGCAGTCAGTCCTAGGAACTCATCGTGCAAGTTCATCTCTTGTGTTGAGCAGACATACTTTGGATACGAATCTAAGATGGAGTAGCATGTTTGAAGCATCTTATCAGCTCATCGAAGAGCAAAGGTGTAACTGCCTGCCATTTATGGCAAACAACTAAATGCCAAGAACCTTGAGTTGAGATCTGTTTCCTCTACAGTCGCTGCTGGTTGCTCATCATTTCTTTGTGTTGTTATTATAAGCAGGCAGCATAAGAGGCCGGGGTCGAGGCGCGGCTGGCAACAGAGCCCCAGGGCCCAGGGGTTCCTACCTCGGGGGATATTCAGCTGGCCGTGGTATATATAGCCGGTATCACGAAGGGAAAGGAAAGCAGCAAGAAAAAGGATATGAACTTGTACCGAATTTGGAAATCTCTGCCGTCAATCCAGTTGCCATTAAACCTGGTACAGGTTAGTATGAACCATAGGTAGAATGCATCAGCCTAAACCCCAGCCCTCTCTTTGAAGTGACCCCAGGCTCAACTCAGGCCCTTTCATTGCGCACGGGTTCCTCTTCTCAGAGGCAGTCAGGGATTAGGCAAGAGTGTGGCCTCCTGAGCCTTCTTAATGTGGAACTTAAGGGGGTGGTCTAGCTCTGACCATGTTTAAATCAAACTTACAAGTAGTGGGTTTTTCAAAGGGGTGCCACTTAGTCATTAGGCTTTTTCTCAGTCTGTGACCCAGTAGGCAGAGTTGGAGTGGTGGGGAGGGATGGACAAAGAAAATGGAAGACTAGGAGGTTCTTCTGTATCTTCTCCCAGCTCAAACTGTCTTCTCCTTACTCAAGCCTGTTGCTACACTAGCCGTCAGAAGCCAGAGGGTACAGATTATTGCCAGTTCTGAGAGTTGGTCGGAAGGTAGGAAATGTCCCTTCGGGAGCAAAAAACACAACTTGTCCCCTGTCATGGTCCTATAATAAACCAGAATACCTGGGAACAAGGCAGTGGTGAAACTTCGTGCAGCTGCTAGTTTCCTGGATTCTAATTTCCAGCATTCTGGATCAATGGATTGGAGGTGGGGACACTCAAGTAATTCAAGCCAGAGACCTTGAACTTTGCTTTCACCTCCAGGCCCCACAGACCAATCTGCCAGTGTTATTAGGGCCCATTGGTCATCAAACATGAGACTGATCATCTTTCTGATCCTCACTTGTAAGGATTTCCATTGTGAGAACATCATAGCATCAACTCCCTATTAGCACACAAGCATCCAAACATAAGGAAAATTTATTCATGGAGCATCAGAGCGATCCTCCTCTAGCTCTCTTCCTGGCTTCATGGAGGGTAGATTGAAGAGCACTTTGAGAGAATCCTCACCTTGAAGCTTATCTCCTCTTGATTTTCTGCTGGTCAAGGACTGTACAGTCCACCCCCTAGCTAAAAGAGAGTCAGAGAATCTATGTTTGGGGCATAGGTTAGCCCTGCCACATAGGGCTTAGAATGCATTTTCCCAGTAGAGCATCCTTTTGAAATAATCCAGGGATAATTTTTTTTGCCTAGGAAAAAAATGTTGCAGATTCTGCAGTCAAATGACTCCTCAGACTGGATTTCCTTATAAATACCATTGACATTATAAGCAATGTGAAACTGATCCCGTATCTCTCTGTAATGCCATAAAACAGCCTGGACACAATAGTTGTCATTTCTACTTGTTGGAAAAGGGACTCCTGTTGGCAGGTTGCGACAGCATAAGATTTAACTAGAGAAATGAACTCTTAAATCATCTTCAAGTGTATTGTGTCCTGCGGCCCGAGGTAGAAATTCCTGTGAGCAGGCAGCCTAAACAATCCAGAATTACTTAATACAGCCCCAGTGTAGCTTAAACTCATAATCACCTCTGGTCCCCATCTTCTGGGCTCTATTTCTGATTCATCCAGAAAATTAGAACTATATTTTAGGAGAAGCACCAGAGCAATGGTGGCGTATCTGGTCACAAGACCATTGATTGAAAGGCACGTGAAAGATTTCGTTAAGGTTTTAGATATATTTTATTGAAAGGCCACACCATTGTTTAGTCTGCAGTCATTTGTCTCTTTACCTTTTATCCAATCAGCTTGTATTAGAGCAAATATGCTTACAGTTATAGGAAAGACATAAAGGATACTTTGTGTATGTATTTTATATTCGTGCTTACCCTTCAACACACACACACCTACCACATACTCCTACAAACTCCTCCAAAACCAGGGCTAATATTTTTTCCTTCTTGCCTCTCTTTATCGTACATTGGTGTTCAGTAACTGCTGTCTGTTGAGCCTCTGGTCTAAATAGAGGCCTTTGGACTTTACTCACAGAAACACGTCTTTGAATTGGCAGGGCTCATCATAGAACCACTCTCCTATTTCACTAATATGAGCAGAAATTAGAAAGTGAGGGAATTTGCCATTTTCTATTCTGTATTTTTCCTTGAATCAGTAAGGCTGAAATCAGAAATAACAGAGTGCAGGTGTACACTGACCTCTGAGTTCTCGGAAGGAAACCCTCTCCAGCACCTGCTTCTTAAAATGTGAAAATGAGGGGTGCCTGGGTGGCTCAGTCAGTTAAGTGTCTGACTCTTGATTTCGGTTCAGGTCATGATCTCACATCATGGTTTGTGAGTTCAAGCCCCATGTTGGGCTCTGCCCTGACACTACAGAGCCTGTTTGGGAGTCTCTCTTGCTCACTTCACTGTCTCTGTCCCTCCCCTGCTTATTCTCACTCTCTCTCTCTCAAAATAAATAAATTAAAAAAAAATATTTTTAATGAGGAAGGGAAAGCGTGGCGGATCTGGTAATGGGCGAGGTGAGTGATGAGGGCCGACAGGCTCCATCTCCCACCTGGTGGGCCTCCGATCTCACTTCTCACCCTGAGCCTGCTGGCTTAGTCACAAGGCCCTTTCCTTTGCTGGACATCAAGAGCAAGATCCAAAATGAGAATTCTCTGTAGAAGCAGTAGTGGAAATTTTGGTGCAGAAACCGAACTCTGGACCTCCCTTCCGTTAGCATCTGTGGGTGGGCCCATCCGTACCCACGTGGATCCTTTTGCGAGGTGAACGGGGCGTATGTGCCAGCGGCCCTCTCTTCCTCTCGGGTGGCACCTTGTTACCTGTGCTAAGAGAGCATTCATTAGTTGGGGGAGGCCCATGACCGCTAAACTTGGGTTTGAAAAACACCAAGAAAGTGACAGATCTTTCTCGGGGACTTTCAAGTGATGTGCATTTCCTTTCTCTTACAGTAGCCATCCCTGCCATTGGGGCCCAGTATTCCGTATTTCAGGCCGCCCCAGCCCCTAAAATAATCGAAGATGGCAAAATCCACACAATGGAGCACATGATCAGCCCCATCGCGGTGCAGCCAGACCCAGCCAGCGCCGCCGCGGCCGCGGCCGCCGTCATTCCTGCCGTGTCAACGCCGCCACCTTTCCAGGTAGAGCTCTTGCTGTAGTCATTGTCATTTGTGTGAGAGGCCTCTCTTTATCACAGGTTCATTGACTGTTCAACAGGAGAGGTTGCTGTGTGCCGAGCCCTCTGATGAAGTATGGGATTGGGTGACAGAAAAAATGTTTACTATAAATCATGACAGGACAGCAAAGTTTGAAATAATAATTATACTGCCCTAATAGTATGCCTGTATGAAAGACGGGAAGCAGAGTGCAGAAATGACACGTGTAATTCTTCACAGTGTCATAATATTGTGCATACAATATTATGATGGTGGGTAATTTTTAACTCCTGTTACTACTATTAAGGCGCTGACTTGCAAAGCCTGGGGAGATAGCTCACATTTTCACTTGCCAAATTGCAGTTCACTGCTGATTTTTTTTAAGTTCTCTCTCCCCCCTCCCCCCCGTACCCCCCTGTCCACCGTATATGAATATTTAGACCTCTGTATCCACACACAGGTATGTAAGTGTGTGTGCATGGAGAGAGAAATACCTTAGAAGGGCTCCTGGTGGCTCAGTAGGTTAAGCATCGACTCTTGATTTTCACTCAGGTCATGATCTCCTGGTTTGTGGTTCGTGATCTTTTACATGGGGCTCCTCATTGGCAGCATGGAACCTCCTTAGGATACTCTTTCTGTCTCTGTCCCCCCTCCCCCCCCCAATAAATAAATAAATAAACTTAAAAAAAAAATCTGTAGAAATGTAGATATATAAAACTTCACAGGGTCACCTGGGTGGCTCAGTCAGTTAAGCATCTGACTTCAGCTCAAGCTACGATCTTGTGGTTCATGAGTTCAAGTCCCGCATCAGGCTCTGCTGACAGCTCAGAGCCTGGAAACTGCTTTGGATTCTGTCTCCCTTGTTCTTTGCCCCTCCCCCATTCATTCATTCTCTCTCTCTCTGTCTGTCTCTTTCTCTCTCTCTGTCTCTCTCTCAAAACTAAATAAAAATATTTTTTAAACAATAATAAAAAAAATAAAACCTTACAAAATCTACCCTTAATCCTCTCCTCCAACCTGATCCAACTATTCCCACTCCTCCCTGTCCCGTCTTCCCGTTCCAGCCTCCTTCCCCACCTTTGCTCATAGGTCTCTTCTCTGTGGTCTCTTCAGCCCCGTGTCTCCTGTAGAATCTTTCCCAAACACCTAGGCTTGGAAATCGCCTCTCTTGTTTCTCATTACCCACATTGTTACTTGGCATATGACTACCAGTATGTTCTGTCTCCTCTAGACCAAGAGCTACATCTTCATTTCTTTTTACCTTCAGTGCATAGCACATAGGGAATACCTATAGGTGATAATGTCATTCATCCAAACAACAAAAACATCGTGTTAAAGCTACTTTTTGTGAGGCAGTAAATCTCCAATACCTTATCATTCCACAAGCATAGATCGTCAGGCTTGGGGTCTCTTACCTAACTGGATAAGAACTATCCAGGGGGTATGTTTAAAAAGCAGATTCTTAGGGGCACCTGTGTGGCTCAGTTGGTTAAGCATTTGACTCTTGGTTTCGGCTCAGGTCATGATCTCATGCTTCATAGGTTCGAGCCCTGTATCAGGCTCGGTGCTGTGAGCACAGGATTCTCTGCTTGCGATTCTGTCTCTTCCTTCTCTCTGCCCCTCCCCTGCTCAAGTTGTGTGGGTATTCTCTCGCTCCAAATTAATGAATAAACTTGAAAACAAAAACAGAAAACAGAGTTCTTAGACTCCAACCCCAGAAGTTATCTAATGAGCAGAACTGGGCTGGGGTTCTAGAATCTGTGTTTTGTATAGATGCCTCAGCAATGCCAAAACAGAGCCACGCTTGCCTGCCACCGCACTATGATGCTGTTTATTTGCTTTTACCCTCTCTGTGCACCAGTCTGGACTGTGTTATTTCAGAAGGGGTCACGCCCGCTGAAATGTATTCATCTACCAATGTATCCTTAAGTATTATTCTAGTCTGGACTTCCTAAAGCCAAAAAAAAAGGAATAGGTTGTAAATGACTCCCACTATAAAATGGCCACCAAGTATAGCTACCTTTTGTGAACTCACTATAAATATCTAGAGTAACCTACAAACAATACTTAGTGGAATTCTAATCATTTCTGATTTCTCTTTCCTAAAAAATTTCTGAGCTTTTGTCCTTGGTGCATAGTGTCCCAAATTCCAGTTCTTGGAATTCCAGCTCTAGATCACAGGCTGTTTCTGTCTTGTATCAGTCTGCACTGAATGTTGCCATCCGGGTTTTTGTTCAGAGTCTTTGCTTATGACTTGGTTCAGTGTACAGTCATCAGTTGATTCCAGTGGAGATTTTTTTCCTCCTTAATAATGTCCTGCAGAATGCCTGTAGCTACTTACTTGGGGAAGCCCAGGGGTGACTTTGAGTGTGTGTGCTTCTTGGTGTTCACCCACCGATCTGGATCCTCCATCGCAGTTCTCTGACCTGGGTCCTCTCAGTGTTCAGCTGTGCCTTGCCTGTAATCTCTGCCAAATTGCAGCAGAGGAAGGAGCATTTTAAGCACTACTGATTGGTGAATAGAACACCTTTCTGACTGGAGCCACAGTAGAAATCTGTTCCCAGCATTACTTCCAGAACCTTCAGGTGGAACACTTTTCATTTGTACGCCTCTGTCTGCACGTGCTTAGGGATGTTCCTGTTGAGCCATTTTATATTTTTAATTTCATATAGCCTTTACAAGTAATTTTTTAAAAAACGTTTGCTGGCATAAACAGTCACTTTATCAAATTTATTTCTCAAAGTGTCCTCAGTCTTCAGAAATGTACGTATAAGTAGAACAAGGATAACTCTTCCTCTTGATGGGGCCTTTTCCTCTCCTCCCCCACCCCCAACATCCCCTGCTCAACCCAGCCACTCCCAGGCGTTAGGGGCTGGACTGTAGCACCTGGAGAGGTTTTCTCAGATTTCTCCTTCGCTGCTATTGTGTCCCTGTATGCATTTGTCACTGAATAAATGTCCACACATTTGTAAAAACTTGCTTTTTTTGTGTCTTGCTGTAAACCACAGTCTTCCCAATTCTGAATTTTCTCTCTGGTTATGAAGCATTGCCAATGAGATAGCCATTGTTAACGTGACGTAGGAGACCAGATAATATAGGGCTAATAGTGCTGGCTCCAGAGTCCTACATTCCAGTGCTTAAAAGCTTTGTCACCTGGTGCAAGTCATTTAACACATCCAGACCTCTCCGTATAATCACAGTACCAGCTTCATTGGTGGTTGTGATGATTTCACGAGGTCATACAAATAAGGAATTTAGAATAGTGCCTAGCATACCATAGTCTCTCTGTTATTATTATCATTGTTATAATTATTATTTTGGTTACAGTTGGCAAAATGGCTCTCAGATGGTGAATTTCCTTTGAACATAATTTTGTGACTCTCATTTGGAGATTTTATATAGGAATGATAACTAATTCCCTTATGAAAATCCAAGAAGAAATAATTTTTAAAATAGAATCCTGCATTTCATCTCTCCTGAATTGTTTATTCTGTAGACGCATTAAAACATATAGGCAATTGCAGCATTGACTATAGGACATTCTCAGGAACATAAGGGACACTAGGTATTTTATTAAATGTGTGTTTTATTTGACCACAAATCCCCTTTTTCATAAAGCATCTCACAGAACTAGCTTCATAGCAAACCCTTTGGGAAATACTGAACCACAGTCTTCACTCTCTACCCCTATCTGTTGTGAAAACGGCATGTTACACTTTCAAGTAGAGAGGAGCAAGTAGTGGGGACTTTTCTGGAGCTAGTGGTTGGATACCCCAGTGAGGCAGCTTTAGTTAGCTTGCCTTTCCCCCACTTCTTCTCCTGTGGATACTCCTCGTTATCCTTCAAAACTCAGCTCAAATGTCTCTACTTCTGGGCTGATTTCTCAAACTTCCCAAGTTTGTCGGTTCCTTTTCTAAGCTTCCACAATCATTTGGGCACAGTTGGCCCTTGAACAACACAAGGGTTAGGTCTGCCAACCCCCCACGCAGTTGTAAATCCATGATTGGCTTTTGACTCCACTAAACCATAACTACTAACAGGCTACTGCTTGGCTAGAGGCTTACTGATAACATAAACATATATGTCAATAAAACATACATATACGTATCACAATAAAACATACGTTATATGTATACGTTCTGTATTCTCACAATAAAGTAAGCTAAAGAAAAGAAAACATTATTAAGAAAATCACAGGGAAGAGAAAATACATTTACAGTACTGTGCTGAATTTATTGGAAAAAGTCTGCCTGTAAGTGGACCCACTCAGTTCAAACCCATGTCCTTCAAGGGTCAACTGTGTATATAGTGGTGTCATAGCTTAGGTTGAAAACATCAGTTGCATTTGCCAAAAATTGTAGAGAGTTGCAGGGTTCTTTTAGGTCACAGCTTAAAAAGCTGCCCCTTCGGAGATCTATACAGTTGGTTCCATAACTTGTCACTGTCTGTTTTCCTCTCTGTTTTTGAAGCATCTTGTTCCTTCAGTTAAATAAGAGTTGAGGCAGCTGGCATATACTCCAAGGAAAATATTTTTAATTACAGTGAGACCAACTGAGCGAAGGGTAGATTCTCTACTCCCTTTGCCAGCTTGCTCATGCTGATGGAGAGGAATGACAAGTAGAAGACTTTCACTTGTAACTACATTTTGAGCAGTTGAATTTGGATGAGCCTTGGAGGACAGAATTCCAGCTTACATTGATGGCTCCTACCACCTTCCCGTACAGCAATTATGTGCTCTACCCCTCTGCCTTCCTTTCCCGCCCCCACCCCGAGAATGAAAACCTTTGCTTTTACCTCTTCCTACTCCTGACTCCTCGGAACTGAAAGAATGAATGAAGCCATGGAAGGAATGGGTGGTTAAATGGCATAGGCACCTGCTCACAGTCAGTAAGAATCCTTCCTGTCTCTCCTCCTCAGGGCCGCCCAATAACTCCAGTGTACACGGTGGCTCCAAACATTCAGAGAATTCCCACTGCCGGGATCTACGGGGCCAGTTACGTTCCATTTGCTGCTCCAGCCACGGCCACTATCGCCACACTACAAAAGAATGCGGCCGCCGCCGCCGTCTACGGAGGCTACGCGGGCTACATACCTCAGGCCTTTCCCGCCGCTGCTATCCAGGTGCCCATCCACGACGTCTACCAGACATACTGATACTGGTGAGGAGAGTGGAGACAGACCACGAACTACCCCTGAAGGAACACTTTACTATTTATGAAGAAAGAACGTGCGGGATTAGCACACCTATGAAACCTGAAAGTGAAGAATGTTATCAGATGTCATACTGAAATATTTTATATTCATGAAGTTTTCACTAGTTTTTTTTTAAGACTATTTTCAAGTTAGCAGCCTGTGTTCATACATTTCTAAGAGACTTGCAACGGTTCGTGCCTTAATACCATCTCTTAAAAATTTGTAACTGTAGTACATTTGTATAGAGGTTTTTGTTTTTTGTATTTTTAAGGATATATTTTCAGTATGAAGGTTATTTTCTTAACTTCTGCACTCCAGAGATTTCTATTTTGTTTGTAGTACCTTCAATAATATATCAGCTATATATGGAAAAGCACACTTGAGCAGCTAGGGAACTATTTTGAAGAGTATATTCAATATTTAAAGATACAAACGATAGTGCTTTAAAATACTACATAAGATGTTATTTTAAAAGTTATACTGGAAAGTGCAATTTTAAAGTGAGTAAAATCTCTGTTTCAGCTGGCATTAAGGGTTGACGGTGTTACCATCCGTTCTCTAGGACAGTTTTTTGTGTTTCTCTCTTTTTTTTTCTTAAGGAATTAAACACTCGATCTCTCCTTAAGCCCATGTTGAAAAGACTTGTCACACTTCTGAGTCCAAACACTGGAAAGCTCTCACCTGCCACCATCACCCTGGAGCCTGCTCATCCTCCATTTGTCTTTCCCTTCCCACGCCCCTACTCATTCCTTCCTCCTGTCCCCAGCCCCACCTCCGAGTCTGGCAAGTCTAGGGCAAAATGAATTACTCTGATAGAGAGAACGTTGATGGATGGCTTTTATACTTCTACCTGGGTTTTTTTTGAGGGGGGAGTTGTTGTGGGTTTTTTTGTTCTATTTTGGTTGGGGAAGGTATTTTCAATAGCAGAGTATGCATAAGCACAAGGTGTTCGTAGTTTCCATTAAGATATCTTTGCAGAGCTATTTAATTGTCTTCTATAAAACCTTAATTCCTTTTCTAATGCTTTTATTTTATTCGTTTTTTTGAAGTATGAATTTGTAGAGACCATGAATGTCATTGTAGACAAGGCCCCCAAAGACTCTTGTCACAGAAGGTTAAATGCTTCTAGTTGCTTATATCATGTTTCATTGCAAAACGTCTGTGGTTGTCAAGGGTGTTGGAAACATTATGTTTATTGAGCAGGGCTTTCCTCCGTAGCTGCACGTGCGTGTGGCCGGTGAACTGAATTGGGGCAAACACATCCAGGAGGAAGAGGAGAGACCTGGAGGAGTTAAAACATAGTTTGTAAATAATCTCTTAATGCTGGTTTTTAGTTTAATGCAAAATGAAACCATTTTATTTCAATGTTCTTAAAGGTTGTTGTTTTATTAGGAAGTAAATGTATTGTTGCAGTGTTGTGCCTGTTTCAAGGCTTGTGTTTAGCAGAGTGAATGTAAAATACAGTAAAATGTTAAGATTGTCATATGCTTTAGGAAATGCATCAACTTGGAACTTTTTTTAAAGGCTCCATCAAGGAATTGAGGTGTGCAATAGGGAGCAAGTACACATTTGTGTTTTTATGTCCCATTAGAGATCTATAAAATCTTTCCACTCAATTTTTGCTGATGGCTGAATTCTTATTTATGGATTAAGAATAGGATCGTGCCTTTAGCAACTATTGTAGTTTTGTTTTCAATTTTAAATTAAGAGATTCCCAAATGCCTCTTTTCCCCCCTCATTTTAGGGTGGGATGAAATTTTTATATATAAGTAATATTTATTTAACTATTCTGTAAAATTATTGAGTGCCTGCAAAGGCCTTTAAACATTTCTAACATTCATTTCCCGCCATTCTTAGATGACATAAATAATTGTGCAATGTTCCTGATGATGTACCCAGCAAGCTGCATCCAAACTCAAATCTGTTGGAATGAGTAATGTAACAAAATGCAATTTGGATCAGATTCTCATCCCTTGACTTTGTGGGAAAGAAGTACTGTCCTTCCAATGAAGAACTGTCACAAAGCTTCACTGGATGAGACTCTGGCCCAGCAGTCTTACTGTATTTTACATATGCCTGTCAATTATTTGCGCAAAAAAAAAAGAAAAAAATGATGTCTTAACATTGCAACTACCAAACTACCTTAAAAACAAATGTTGGTGAGCCTCCTATATGGTCTGTCTGTTTCTGTTTCAAAACCATTTCAGATACACTACTGAGGTAAGTTTATAACTTGAAATGTGAACTTTTTTTTTTAGGGTTAAGAACAAACTATATAAATGTTTTAAAAAAAAGCTTTAGTGTTCTCTGTTTCAAACATGCTAGCAATTTAGTTCTCTTTAGTTGCTTTGTATTTGAAAAGCTTTTAAATTTATTTAGGTTTGCTCCATTTACAATACATTCTTAGGATGTATGTAGTAAATAAAGCTTTCTTTAAAGCAATTTCCAGAATTTATTTTAAATTGTGTTTTCTTTATACTGATTTGGCCCTAACAAAATTAGAGGAAGCTTTACAGCGTAGAAGGAAGCAACTACTTCAGTATTTTCAGCTGGCGAAACCGGCAAGTTACTGTCATGTCTTTGCCTTGGAATTGCCATCGAAGATGGGTTGCGTAGTAAAATCGTGAGTTATCAGTGTCTTCAAACTTGAGCTTAGGTGATTGAAGGTTAAGCACCCAACTTCTGCTCAACGTGTAGACTGGAATAGGATGTGACAACGCCTGCCACTGCTGTCAGTACTGATGTTTATGATTCCAAGAGCTTTACACTCAGACCTCTAAATGGAGGTGACGTTGGGTTTATCTAGTGGTCTTGTGAAAGTGCCGGATGACCTGAATGTCCGTCACTGCATTGGAAACCAAAGTCTTGTGTTCCTCATTTTCACAACGCATAGCAGGGTTAGCAGAACCCTTCCTTCCCTTTTCTCCAGAGAGCATCACTGACTTCAGACAATATCACCAGCAAAGCCAATCAAATGATTCAAGGGAAAGTGATGGGCTGCCAATGGAATTACTTCTAAAATTTGCCCCACGTGGCTTTGCCATTGATGAAGAATTTTACATTCTTTGTCTTGAGCAATCTGGGTTGTGGCCTCCCTTACCACCTTTCCTGAAACAGTAACTTCTTGCTTCCTCTTAAAAAGATAAAGGTTTTTTTTAGAGGCAAGAGGGGCCAGGAGACTTCCCAAGATGACAAATCATTAGGCAGTGTTTTCAAGGATAACAAGATCTGCGGATTCCTTTTTATTCTAAGAGAAGAGTACAGACGCCCTTCAAATTGCAGAATCAGAGTTTGATCTCATTTAAAAAAGAACAATCATACAAAATAGGCATTATGTCTCCACTAGGTGCCAGAGTCTGTTCTAGGTGTGACAGGCATGAACAAACCCACAAAATCTTGCACAAGTAGAGCTTACATTCCAGTGGGAGAACATAGACATTTTCAGCAGATAAGCAACATGTTGGGTAGGGACAAATGCTATGATTATGTGACCCATTAGGCTCTTTGGCTCCCATAATCTCGGGGGGGACCTCACAATAACTCAGAGTAAGTCGGCAGGTCAGGCAGTGTGACTGGCCAAGCTCACACAGCTGGTAAGAACCTGGACTGAAATCTGCTCAGATCCCAAGTACCAGATTTTTTCTGATAACACGCTGACCCTGGAAATGGATAAAAAACAGTCATGGCGATGACCTTCTTCAGATTTTCTACAAGTGCAGTTTTTGGTAGGGTTCTAATGTTTGCATATGCGACCTCTCTTCTTGGATGGGGACTGGAAAGCAGAATGGAAGACCTAGCCACTCTAAGTGGAGCTGCTAAAACTATACACACTGGGAGAATTAAGGAATTCTATCTGCAAAGCTGTCCCAGAGATGATAGAGAAGGCTAAAGAACTGTCATGGGAACTCAACTATACCCTTCCAATTCTTTACTAGGTGGGTGCCCCATTTTTTAATTCTAAAAAACACCTGCCATGACAATGTACATAAGCTCTTATTTAGTTGAAAGAACGGTTAGAAAACAAAGTGCTAGTTTTTCTTTTCTAGTGAAGGATAATCCCATGACAATCCAGCATTCATTGGAGGCTGTTAACATGGCACATGCTGTGCAAGGTACGTTTCACTCGCTATAATTGACCTCACTGGCTTACCAAACTCTGTTTTAAAGATGATTGGATGCTTGACTATTTAACAGAAATCTATAGTATATTACCTCAAGTATTATGTGATACTATCTTTCTTATAAAGCCACTGGGCACCGAGGCTTCTCTCACTTGCTTTAAAAAACAAACCATGAAATATGACATTTTGGCATGGCTATTTTGATGAAATGACATTTTGACACCGTGACCCTTAAAAAAATAGATCTTGAGCTTTTAAAAAAATTGCTGGCTGGATGATACAGATGTATTCACTTTATCCTTACCCTACCACTTTCTTGACACATTCCCCACCTCTGACCACCCCAGGTCAAGCACAGGATTAGGTTTAAATACAAAATGAGGCTCGGGAGATCTCCGTAAAGTGTTTTGCTTCAATTCCAAGTTCTAAGCTGTTGGACTGGTTACAGCCTTTTCTTTCCCCTCATTTCCTTCTTTAGTCATCCCTTTCTAGATACTCAGTACTCCCCTGTTTCCTAACTTCTCATGCCAATATACCTGGAAAAAATTTGCCGAAGACTTACCTCTGTGGACAAGCACTGTGACCTAGTGGAACAAGGCTGGGTTTGTAGTTCACATGCTTAGGGGGTAAAACCTCAGCTTTGCTACTGACCAGACATGTGATTTTGGAAAAAGCACCTCACCTCTCTGAGTGTGAATTTCTTGTTTGGTAAAATAGAAATAATAATCTTGACCTCACAAGCTTATTGTGAAAATCAGATGAATTAATGAATCTAAAAAAGCCTGGTATGTTGTAGGCACTCAAGAAACAAGATTTCCTTCCTTCCCCTGTAGTGTGAACTCATTCTGCTATATTAAGTCTATTAAGCCTTTCCATTTTACCTGTTTTTATTCCTTTTGTTTCCAGTTCAGTAAACATTTGTTGAATGCCAACTGTGTGCCAGAACAGCACGAGGCACTGGAGAGACAACAATCAACAAAATTGACCCTCTCTATCCTCTAGAAACTCCCAGGCATGATAAGACAGTGTTGCAGGTGCAGTGAAATGGGAGGTGGCAGCCACGCAGCCTTGGGCAGGGGGTTAAGAAGGATTTGGGGAACGAAGTGGCATCTCAGCAAACATCTACAGAACGAGTAAGGATTAAGGCAGATAAGGAGAGAAAAGAGGGAATAGGAGGTGGCCAAGTCCAGAAGAAAAAATCTTAGAATAGTCAGGTACCGGGGCGCCTGGGTGGCTTAGTCGGTTAAGCGTCCGACTGTCGCTTGGGTCATGATCTCGCAGTTCGTGGGTTGGAGCCCCGCGTCAGGCTCTGTGCTGACTGCCAGCTCAGAGCCTGGAGCCTGTTTCAGTCTGTGACTCCCTCTCTCTCTGACCCTCCCCTGCTCACGCTGTCTCTCTCTCTCTCTCCTAGAAATAAATAAAAACATTTAAAAAAATAAAAAAAAAAAAAATAGGTACCTGGAATAAGCTCAGAGAGAGAGAAAGGGTGTGGAATGAAGGAACTCAACCATTGTTCCATTCAACATTAAACATGGTTCATGGGCCTGTGCTAACTATAGACGGAAGAGATTTGGTCCCTATAACAAGGAAGCCCTAAATCATTTTTCCTTAGGACTTTGAATTCCAGAAAATGGTGGAGCCCTGCATTGACTAAACTGCAGAAACTGAGGGCTTTCTCTCAGTTAACAGGATGGTGCACCTGAGCACTCCCCCTAGTGGGCAACTCTCACCTTTCTCTCTTCCTTGCCCCATGTGATGCCCACCCACCTTGATCTCATGGGGGAGAGTTTGTAAGGACAGCCAAGGCTTGTAGGGTTCCCCAACCTTTCTTTCCGTAGATCCAGTTTCCAGCCTCTGGAACCTTCCTCCCTTTTCTCTTGGGGATCAAACTGCAGCTATGTGTGCTGGCCAGGGTGTCCCCACTCTCCCTCTGGAAGCCCTACAGATCCAGGGCTTCTCAGCAAAGGTGAGGGAAGCCTATGGTCTTCTAGAGGACTGAGGGCACAGTAGGGTTCCAAGTAAAATCTTCAGAGACTCACTGGCGGCTTCAATGAGATTATATTTCCCTGTGACTCCATTCCACACAATTATACTCATAATCAAATGCAATACCAAACCCTGCATTTGCAAGAAATATGACCTTTCCTGAGCTAATTTTTAGCTATCCTTTTTTCTTGGCTTGCTCTACTTTGTTTGTCAAAAATCCTCATTAATGATTAACCAACCACGAGGCTTAAAGAGGCCTTAGTCATTCTGAGGCAGGTAAGACAAGTTGCTAAAGCTCAGTTGTTTCTGAGATGACCTTGCTGGGGGCGCTGGGTCAAGACATTTTTGAGCTTACAGTATTATGATAACACTGGGCTATGCCAGTGTTTTTGTGGGGATTTTTCCTCTCTGTTTCAGGACTTCTATTCTAAACAGTGGTGGCACCAGGAAATGGTATTTCTATCAGCCTGGCCAGCTTCACCCCAACCCTTGCGGTGGGTGAAATATGGCCGCTTGACACTTTCTCAGTCTTACAAAAAGTGCCAAGCAAACTCAGGCCCTGACAGGCCCCTAATCTCTTCTTTCCAAATAAGATGCTCCCCTAAGAGGAGAAATTCTGGAAAGGTGGCTGAGTCTAAGGGTGCTCTGGCATTTCTAGAAGGAAGCATTCAGAACATAAGCAACAATAGTAAAAAGAATCTATTTAGCATAATTTCCTGACCCAAGTGGGAATATTCCCTGACCTCATCTTATTCCCCATTTTTCTTATGCTTAGGAATAATGTTAAAGCCTTAGAGGGTGATCGCTCAGCAGGAGATAAGAATAATGGCTAACAGTAACTTATTCTCTGCTGATTGAATACTTAATATATGTCAAGTCATTAACATGGATTTTTTTTTAAAAAACTTTTTATTAAAAATAATGTAGGTATAGAATTGTACATATATCATATTTTCAGAAATTGGGTACCAGCACCAGCACCCAGGTAGAAAACTTGACCACC